AACTCAGAGTTAATTTGATGAGTGTCTCTATATCTTATACAAACAGTGTACATTGCCATTGCAATGTTACCATAAATGTAGATAGCAGCTCTAAATTATACTGTAGCTGTAAAAAAGCTAATTATTTTGGTGGGTTACTATAGTATGCTATATCAGCCATTAGTATTCCTATTGCTGATTTTTCTGCAGTGTTGCTAAATATGCCAAGAAAAGTCCATCAAACTTCCTTGTACTCTGATTCTTGGTACCTCAAACATCTTAGACTTATAAAGGTTTGATTTATTGCCTGTCTCTCATGAGTGAACAAAGGTGATTTAATCTTATTCTTTCTTGTTATCAACTTTTTCATCAGCTGTCTTTTTGTGGGAAGTGGCTGTGATTGCGAAACACCAAAATTTTTTTATAATGAAGCAAGGAGATTGCCACAAAAGATTTGTGGGATAAACTAGGTCAGTGTCTTAACATCTTTGGATTAGGGGAAAACAGAAATGTTAGAAATTCCACTAAGTTTAAAATGAAATAGCCTTCTAAGCAGAATGGAAGCTTTTAAATGCAACAGCTGGAACAAACCGGCAAGTGAAAAATGCTCTGAAAGATGAGATGGCACACTTTGAGCAAATTAAGAAGTAATTCTGTTAGATCCCTACAGGCGACATGTCCAAACAAAGGGACCATAATAACAGAACAAAGACTGCTGTTGACAATTATGAAACAGAAACACCCATCTCTAAGTAAACACCAGATAAGCTCTCTGTCATTATGTTACTCTTGGCTGCAGAAAAGTATGGCCGTATGATTGATTATACCTCTCAACATCAATGAGGGTAGATGACATAAGGTGATTATTGGTTGATGGTAATGTCTTCTAAAGGGAATCATTTTAAGGTAAATGTGTGAAAACATTAACTAAGTAATTTTCTTCTATTGCTCCACTGATAGTAATATATATATCAACAAGTAATGTTAATTGCATTTTTACATCGTACAAAAATTTTAGTTTTATTATTGTGACTTCTTGTTTTATCCTGCAAGTTGTTTTCTAAGAGCATTACTAGCCTTTCTAATAGGAAAAAGAAACATATGTATAATTAGTATATTTCCAGCAAGTTCCAAATATTGGCAATATTGCTAACAAGAATGGTGTTTATAATGGAGTATTGATTTTGCTGAATGTTATATTATTTTGTATAAGTTATTGTTAAGCAGTCTGGTTATTGCCTCTTGCACAATGATGACTTGAGATGATCATAAGATGCCCTGCAACCCTACAAAGATGAACAGACATATACCTGTTTCCCACTGGCTGAAAAAACCTGTTCAAACCAGGGAACAATTGGCTTTTAGTGGCAGAGAGAACATCTCACTGATGTGTGTCTACAAGGGTCAAAAGACTCTGCAACCGCATTAAAATTCCCTTTGATCAGCATGCTGTGGGAAATTACGTGACATCATTAGCAAGGTACCGCTGTCAACACCACACGCCAGTCACTTGTGATCTAACAAGCTGAAACAAATCTGCTTACAGTTGATAAACATGTGGCATAAACATAGTTTGTCAAAAGCAAGTTTAGCAGAATCTTGTTCTATCCTTAAATCTAGTGTTGCGTCGATGCCATTTTTTGGCCCCAATGCCGATACCCGATACCTGGCTGTGCAGTATTGACCGATACCAATACCATCTGTTTGAAATTGATGTGTGTGTATATATATGAAGAACTGCATACTACTTGGACGTAAAATAATTGCCATCATGGCTTTGTCAAGCTGCTGCCTACCTTTGTCAAGCAGGAAAAAGACTAATAAAAAGTGAATCCAGCTTTATTGCCTACCTGGAATGGGTGACAATAACTGAATAAACTTTTGGCTCTCAAAATGGTATCGGTGCCCTATTTGTTGGTACTCGCCAATACCAATACCAACATTTGCTGGGTCGGGGCCCTGTCTGATACTGGTATCGCTATCGGTGCAACACTACTTAAATCATTCATTTGTTTCAAACTACCTGCTTTTGAGCTACATTTTGTCCAAACATCAGGCTAAAACATTGGATCCCAATTATTTCTGTGGGATTTCTTTCATTCCTTTATAATCTTTTTACAGGGGAAAATATGGTAAGAAATCGCTCTCTAGTAACAAAGGACCTTTGTGCTTTGAAGCAACCTTTGTGAGAAATGCTTTCAAGCATTCAAGAAAGATTCTGAGTAAAGCTAATAAAAAAGGATGCTAACTAAAATATTTGTTGTGCTAGTTACCAGGAATGAAAATGAATATTTTTGCAGAAACAATTAGTCTTATAAAATGATTGTGCTGGAAAGATGTAATTTAGATAAAACATAAAAGCAAAAGTCCTCCACCCATTTGAACAGTCCACCCATTAGAGTTTAAGCAACAAACTATTTTTGGAAAAGCATTATTGCGATATCTGAAAAGAAACCTGATTGATATCAATGTGTCTTAAGAAAAATGCTGTGTGTTGCTCTGGGGGTCCAAAATCAAAAAATGTATCTCTTGTAAGCTCTGATTTCAGTCACTGATACAAAGTATTATGACCTCCATAGGTGGTCCTCCGTAGAAAGACAGAGTCTGAGCCAATAAACTGCCATCTGCACAATGTAGAAAAGCTTTGAAATTCTAAAATGGTCAGCTTTTATGTTTCCCATCTTTGTAAAAACACAAACAAAACGACTACATCAATGTGGTGTTTGTGGGATTGCAGAAGGCTGGGAGGAGAAGAGCAGCAGAAGGTGGTGGAGGAGGACACACTGACAGGATGTTCAGGAGAGTTTGGACAATACTGTACATTGGAGCAGAAAGTACCAGAGCAGTCCAAAAGAAAGTCCAGCATATGGCGTATGTCAGTGGGACACTAAGTCCTGAACCGCAGCACCCCCTTATACCCAAGGTTTTCCCTTTCATTGGAACACACACCCACATTCACTCCTTAAATTCTCAGAACAAGAAATGAAGGAGTCAAAATGAAACTAAGAACTTTGACTGTTACAATTACATGACAGAGAGACTCCAAAAATCCCTGAATCCCAGTAGCTCTGTGGGTGTGTATCATTACACCGCTGACGCATTGGCCATTTTGTCACATAAATTACAGTCTTACTAAATCACCAAGGTGATTCGGGCAAAAGAGTTGAATCACCATTACATCTTGTCTTGGGCCCACAATTACCAGGATATTTTCATAAAAGCATTGAGCATTCATTTGAAAAACATAAGTGCAATTTATTTACAGGCTATTGACTGCAGATAAAGCTTATCTATTAGGAAAGACTAAGTGAATCATTACTGGAGTGAGGTGAGTCTCTGCCTATTTGTGGAAAGCAAATACTTACCTTTCAGTGTTGGAATTTGCTTTACAGTAAAGAGTTTGGTAAATGTTAGAGGTAGTGCATGTTTTTGAAGATTACAAATTCATCCATTTTATTCGTGCAGCATTTATGTGGCTAACATTTATGCTGCTATGCCATCTAGTGGTCTTTGAATGCATAACCTAAATCCTTTAATCAACAGTCTGAGCCACAAATTCAACTTTAGTTTTTTTTTAAAACATGTTATACTGTGATTCATTTCAGTACTCAGTAACTGCATGTATTACAGTATCAATGTGTTTTAGATGCAATCTTCCTGTTCCTGTGGTACTACTGAGGCGTTAATGGAGGCCAGAAGCCTTTGGCTCCTGTGATGTGCTCTAAACTTTCCTGGTTGATGGTTGTATTGACATTGGACTTAAATACACAGCGGATAAAGATTAGCAGATAAAAAGCTTACCAAATCTTACTGAATAAGGAATGACACTGGACTTCAGAAAACTTTTGTGAATCTCTCTCACTCCAGACTCCAGGACCTTGATTTTTCTTTTTTTTTTATAGAATGCAAGATTAGATTTATCTAAAAAATTTCTTGCATGACAACCATCCTTTATAGTGCGTGTCTAATGTTGTTTTCCTTCCATTCGACTTTCCATCCATATGCTTAAATATTGGCTGTTAACAGCCATCTTTTTTTGCAATGGTCGTTTGAGGACAGTAGTTTGTCCCATCATCTTGTATTCATTTCTGCAGTTGTACATTTTTTTTCAAAGTTTAATTTTCCAATATTTTGTACATCATTTTAATGAACTAAATAACATTTAAAAAAGGAATTCCTTTTATTGTCCCACAATGGGGAAATTCATTTTCTGCATTTTAACCCATCCAACTGGGGAGTAACAGGCTGCTATTGTGTGGCGCCCGGTGAGCAGTGAGGGGTTAAGGGTCTTGCTCAGGGACCAGGAGTGCAAGCTTGTAGGGATTAAACCGGGTACTTGCAACCTTCTCAGAGCACAAGTGCACTGCTCTGACCCACTAGGCCAGCACTCCCCAAATACTGGATTTCAGCTCTTTCTTAAAATGACCTAATTACTGTGTGTAACAAACATCCCTGTTTTTAAATTCAGTTACTAAAATAAAGTCTCGATTCAGTAATAGTCCAATTGATTTAGATCTACCTGTACATCCATATTCTCTTACACAGATTACCATCATGATCTTGTCCCCCTCTGCATCATCTCAACGGATAATTTTCCACACAGCTTCTCCTCTGGTGAATTATTAAGGTCAGAAGTTTAGCTGGAAACCGATCCTCCCATGAGAAGTACTGTTGTCAAAAAAGTGCAGGCAGCTATTTAAAGACTCCTCGATAATGACGAGGTATGACTGGAATCTTGGACTAATGTTCTTTTATTAGAAATCCACCCCGGTTTCTCAGATGTATCCACCTACACAGCCACCAAACCACAAACAAAATACCTAACCTGATCATTCTTTACAGCCGTCAGGTTAAAATAGCCTGCTGCTGGTTCTCTTTCTCCAAATCCAGTGTTTATTAATAAGCCTAAACAGATCTGAGGTAGTCATGGTCACACATAGCAGCGCAGTGAGTGTGAGGGAGGAAGGAGGTCAGCTCAGCTGTCTTTTTTAACCCTCCCCTCCACTAAGAGTTCATCTGCACCCCTTCTCCTGCTCAGTCTCCAAAAGCTCAGCTTGCTTTTGTCATCTTAACCACAACTTATTCAAACTCCTTCCATATATTCAACATCACTCGGGACTCAACCCACTGAAAGATAATCTTCGATATATGCTGACTGTAAGTACAGATGTATTGCATTTAATATTTGATGGTTTCTGTTTCTTATTTTAACCAAATTAGAATTTTTTGATGCTATGATACGTTTCTAAAACTGCCAAGACTTCTATTAAAAAAATAAAAATAAAAGTTAATTTCTAACAACTTTGTAAACAGTGAATGCTGGTCTTTTATCTCCCAAAAAGTTGAAATATTTCGATTTATGTTTGCTTCAGATGTAGGTCAACAGTCATTTTGGTGACCAATGTTTTCATAAGCTCAGGAGACACAGCTTAAACGCAAGCCAGAAGCAGCTGGAAAACATCATCATGTCAACGCTGCAACACTAACTTTAGTCTAAATCACATTACTGATCAGATTTAACCAACAATCTCTTTAAGATGATAAAATAAAAAACCCAAGTAAAGTTTATATACCCATCCATAAATAACCATGATCTTGATGATGCCACTTGCTAAAGCTTGAGAGCTTCAAAACCATCTGTCTGGGTTTATGTCGTTGGAGCTATGGTGTTTATATGTGAATTCATGAACTGGCCAGCTGAGGCGTGTCCAGACATTCCCAAAATCTTTGAGTGCCTGGACATCTGCCCCTGAAGGGACAGCTGTCCCTGGCATGCCATTTGTCAAACTGGTTTTCTGCATGGATCCACAAGTCCCAGTGGCATCCCAGTTTACAGTGCCTCGCCATAATATTAACCTAGCACTTCCATTGATATGTCTTCACTGTCAGTCGTGCATATGGCTGGCACGCCATTGGAGAGATCTTGGAAGGTTTGAAAGTTTGGCTCATTAGGAAGTAATAAACATTTCCATTGCGCCCAACCAATCTAAAACATGGATCAATGATAAATCAGGTGAGCAATAGTGATTACTCTATAAATATAAAAACAAAAGTCTAAAAGCCCTCTCTAAAAACTGAGATGTCTTCCATCCATCTTTGTGTTATGTCAACAAGCAATAAGGCAGTAAGGGGTTTAAAGTCAATTTCTCCCTGTTGCATTTATGAGTCACCAAGTGATGCAATCCCTTCAGAGTTAGACATAAAAAATGTAGTTGACCTTTTTTGTATCAGTATTTACGTTTCCTCCTTGTGGTTTTATATCACCTCTCCTGTAGAGCTCATGGTGGTTTCATTAATGAAATCTCATTTCTGCACAGGACACTGCAGGGACGTCTTTGTGGTTTAACAGAGCTTTCCTTGGTTTCATTGTACAGTAAACTGTCTCAGCAGTACATTCTCCTTCAAGTAAAACCTGCAAACTGGTCCACCATTGACTATTTTTTCAAAACGGTTTTGCACCCTTTCTTGCCATAAAAACACAGAAAAAAATTGTTCCAAAACTGCCTTTTCTTTGATAATGCTATAAGACTCGACAGAATGATTCAGAACAGCCAAGTGCCCAAACATCTGCTCATACAGACGAATGCTCACTTTCTGATTGTGAGTTAGTGTCTTTCCCCATTAGTGCCTGACCCTTTGGAGTCAAATAGTTTTAGAGGGATATTTTGGCCAAGATGGCTCACAAAATACCATCATGATGTGACATACTATCTGGTAAGATAAAATCCTAGGGTCTCTTGAAGACCAGATGACATTCTGGCAGGACAAATCTTAGAACTAACAAATTACTGTATGTTGGCTTTCACTGTGTGGTTAAAACATGTCTCTTCCTTTTTTTTTTAAAGAATGCTGCAGATCTAAGGGAGTTACCAACACCAGAACTGGGTACATCCTATCCTAGCCAATGGAGGACCAAGAGGAAGACATCTCCACCACCGGTGTAGGGCCACTTTTCATCAGAGAAGAAAAAGCGGACACAGATAGAACCATTGTGGAACAGAGTGATGGCAACCAAAACCCCACAGCGCAAAGCTTCACTGGAAAACCACTTAATCAAACAGCTCTGTCAGAGCCATACCTTCAGGAGATGGATGTCTTACTGAAAAGCTGTGAGAAGCTTACAGGTATTCCTTTTAGATCACGCCACATTGAGGGTTACTCTGAAACGAGTCTGAGTAAGTCCGGTTGCATAAAAGGCAAAGAGAAGGCCAGAACAGAAACCCATGAAGAAGCATGTATGTCTACCCAAGCTAGTCGTTCCTCTTGCTACATCGACACACAAATGGATGCGACTGAAACAGAAGATGAACTAGCAGAAAGCCAAAACCTTGGCACAGTCATCCACAAGCCTGGGAGTTCTTGCCACTCAGATATGCCGCTTTCCTCGGCAGGCAGCGAGCTGAGCGCCAGCATGTTGGAGTATGAGGACCAGCTGTTGAGGATGTTGGCCATGCTGGAAAGCTGCATGGAAGAGACTGGCATGGACTTTGAGTCACAAGAACAGACTACGGATGCATGTCATGAATATATGCACATCAAAAATACTCCTTATCATTACACGGACAAAGCATTGACTCAGGATGCACTCGAGAGCCCAGCAATGCCACCCATGCATAATGGTTCTAATGTGGAAGGAGATAAAGCTTCAGAAGATGGTGGGATTGAAGAAGCAATGGACTCAGCAGGAAAAGAAAACTCACAAAATAATATGGTTGATTATTTAAAACAGCGACCAGAAGGTCATCTTGTAGTAGGACATGATGTCCAGAACCCTGACCTTATGATTTCAGAGCTGGAAAAGGCAGAGGATCAATCACATAAAGAACCAATGACATGTGAGGGAATAAACATAGGGCATATACCTAATGAAGCACCAGAAAATATGGCAGACACTGCAGGGATACGCACAGATGACGTTAGTTTAGCAGCTGAAGGGAAACCTGTATCAAAAGCAGACCTTGAGTCAGACATGACCAAACTAAGTTCTCAGATGGACGACTGCATAGAGGAGGTGCAGCGGTTAGAGAAAAGGAGAAAAGAGCTTCTGCTGGAGGTGCTGCAGCTGAGAGGACCGAAGCTCAAGGACGATGTGGAAAGGGGAGGCAAGGATGAAGAGGAGATGGAGGAGTGGGTAGACACCACAGCCTTGGAGCTGATCACAGTTCTTAAGAAGGAAGAAGAGGCGAGGCGAGAGGAGAGAAAGAAGGAGATTCACAGCCTGAGGGAGGAGAGGGCAGATGAAGAGAGGAAAACATGGAAGGTGAACTTGGAGAGACAAGGACTACAAGATGAGCTTAGAAGGCTGAGGAGGAGGCTGTTTGCAGCAGTAAGGGACTGTGCCCAGAGTCAAGCCACCCTAAATAATCAGCGCTGTGATTTTGAGTTACTGAGGACAGAAGAGGTAAGACTCCAACTAGGAGCTGTAGCATCATCACTTTTTTAAGGAATCAAGTTTCTGAAATGTTTTCTTTTACATTTCAGGAGAAGCTAAACTCTCTGGTTCTGCAGCTGGCAGATGAGAGCTGCCAACTCAGATCAGCACATCAGGAACAGCTATTGGAGCTAAATGCAAAGCTTCACCACCAAACCCCCGGAGAGACAGCCAACGCCCAGGAGGAGCTGACCGAGTGTAGGAAGAATTCCTGCGGGGATGTTCAGCAATATGTGCAGGGTGGATTAAAAGCACTGGAGGACAGGTACTGTCTCTTTAATAAAACAGTGTGTGCATGTAATACCACATGCAAAATATATTTTTTGCCATGGGGAAACTTGAAATTAGGATATTTTGAGTGCATTTCAAGTGTGGGTTTCAAGGACAGTGAATGTCCATCCTAATAATAGTGTCCAACCAAATGCTGCATCCACACAGCCGGGTACGATTTATACTGTGTATATTGATAACATACTGATAATATAGGGGTGATATATATATATATATTTCCCAGGTATGAACCCATTTTGGTTGCACTGCTGAAAAGGAAAGAGGCAACGGCCGATGCACTGACGAAATCCAAAAATCAGTCCCATGAGCTGAAGGTCCAGCTGAAACCTCTGAAGGACGAGATTCAGAAACTGGAACTGGAGAGGACTTGTTTAGAGGAGAGACTTAAACTGACCCACATACAGAGGCAGGAAGATGCAAGTCGCTACAAGGTTAGCAAACAGTGCTTTCTGAGTGTGAATGGTAAATATTAAAGGCATTGCTCTTCTAGTTAGACTAACGATCTACTCTGTTTTAGGAAGCTATACATTTTCTGGAGGAGAGCATCCGTGAGCTGAGAACAGAGTTAGAGGTTCAGAAGAGAAAAACCAAGGATATGGAAGAAATGAGAGAAAGCCTCACCAAGCAACTTCTGCTTTACAGGTAGTTTAAGATGTTTCGGCCAGTTTTACATTAATAATGTAACGATTTACGACTTTTGGTTTTCTTTAGGATTGCCTCTGAGGACCACAACAGCTGTGATCAGCAAGATAAGACATGATCACGCCTTTCTTCTCAGTTGAAAAACAGCCTTGTTATGAATATGTGTTTTGATTTTTTTTTTTTATTATCTACAGAAAACAGTCAGCTCCAAAGATTTCAAAAATGCACTTTACCCGATTTGTTTGTCTGTAACGTAGGCTGCACGATGTAGAAAGGTTTCTGTTGCAAATAAAGGTCTGGTTTTTCTTACAGTGATGAGTGCGACTGGTGACTTAATGTCTGTCTCTAAAGAACAGAGCCTGTTTCTTCTACTTATAAGGCAAATGTTTCTGAAGAAGTAAACAATGCTGTACAATTTAATCAAGTGAGTGAGCTCAGGAAACAGAAGAGCACCGATATGTCACAACACACACTCATCTCACAGAAGCAGTAACGAATCTTAAGCCCTTCAATGTTAAAAGAAAGACTGTTTAACCATACTTTCTGGCTTAGTAAGATATTAGTGAGTATGAAACACTATGTACATGGAAATCTTAAAATTGTAAGAAGTAGGCTTGCAGGGAGCTTGAGAAAAATTTATAAAATGTAGACTCAATACTAAACATTAAAAATGGAAAATTGAGTGTTACAGAAACTGATTTTATGGTAGAATTTCCACAAAGAACATACGTTTTCTTAGTACTTTGAAGGAGGAACAAAGCAGGATCGAGTTTACCGACAGAAATTAGGTTATAAAACTCTTAAAAGCATTATATAAACGGTTTTAATATAATTTCTGAATTCTGTAATAAAAAGTAATTACCGCATTAATTAATAATTGAAAGGATGCATTTGAAAGCCCCCATCATGCATTAAAAGCTGATGCACTACCTAATTTCTTTACATTTTAATACAGCCAGAGTAGTAAATTACAGTTAAAAATGTGTCAAAATCAGAGGAGGCATTTCACAATAAGTGTATGAATGAGAGAGAAAAAAATTAACTGAGAAATTCAAAGAGAGTGAAAGTATTGAAGGTGTGGTGTACAAAAAGGAACTAAAAATGTGGGAATAAAGGAAGGAAAGCAAGGAAAGGTAGGTCATGGGAAAGTTGTGACATTATGAAAGCTCGAAAATCATAATAAGGGTAGATAGATAGCCATGGTTTACAAAGTAGAGAGGATTTCTGATACAATTAATAGGGAACAGAAGGCTCCATGTGCACATGTGTCACAATCTAACAGCTTGGAGCTTTTTCTTAACAGATTTGGAAATCTTTTATCTGGGATACTTTTAAAACATTTGAAGAAAAATAATAACAACTGGAGTTTTATTTTTTGTAAAATATATACAAAAATGTAATCTCTGTTGAGAAATAAATTAAGATAACCCCACATATTTCCACTTAAAGTTATAGTGGATGATGTTCTTATTCTGGGTGGATCATCAAAATAAGTTCTCCTAATTGTGAATCATTCTGGTGATATGTTTACATAAGGCAGTCCTACGTGCTCATCCCCATTTTCATTTACCGATGATAAGACTGACATAGTTGAAAAAATTGCAAATCTTCTTTCGAAAGTAAATTTTGAAACAGAGCTTGCACAAGGAGAAATGGGCATGTGCACGCTCTCGCACACGTGTAATAGGTGTTTCCTCTCTGGAACATCAGGGCTGTGCATTTTATTTTTAAAGTGGACAGGGCGGATCTTTTCAAAAATGTGCAAAAATTCTCCACTTCAACTTTAATTTTTACACATATACGCAGACATTTAAGCACATACATAGACACAAAAACATATTTTTGGCACCAATGGGATCCCATTATGTTTCTTAGTTGAAATGTATTTAACACTTGGCATTATAATATCAAAAAAGCTTCATATGATTAATTATGGTCTCCATGTTTTGTATCATGTAAACCTGATAGATTAAAGCTGCATGCAGACGGTCTGCAGCTTAAAGAGGATTAGGAAATGCTTGTCATGACCTGCAGGGATGTGAAACATAATGCTGAGACAGAGGAGGGTGATTTGTTGCACAGTGTCTTAGGAAAGCAGCTAGAAGATGATCTACAAAACTAAACCATATATCTTACATCTGTTAGACTAAACTTTGTTATACCTCAGTTCCTTCTCTCTGTTTGTCTATCCATCAAATCATGACCGGAGGTGTTTCCACAGAGGCTTAGGCTGGACATGCCAGAACCAATGTGAATGAAGGAATGGCTTAAAGTGAACAGTTCCTTGAAGCTATACAGGATCAATCTACACTGTAAATACAGGAAATGAATGTGTATTTTCCTAATAAACAACAGATTTTCCTAAATCTCTTGCTAAAGAATAAATACATATATTTACACATTAATGCTTGTGGCAGATACAGCAGTGAGAGATATGATTATAAATATTTGTGTTATAGTTGTATAAAACATATAAAATGAGTTGCTGTGCTTTGCAACATGCATACATGCTATTAGAATATCGTATAATTCTTAACACGACTAAGAACAATTAAATACAATTAACCATTTATTTGTTTTCAGAGAAAAAAGAAAAGTAGTTCAATATTCAGTGAGTTAAAGTTGATTGAAATTTATTCTGATCCTGCTCAACAAATTACACTAAGCGGAGTTTAGACCCGACTAGACCCCACATCGTGGTCTAGTCAGGAACACACATGTTTATTATAAGGGCTGTCCTCTCTATACTTAACTTTAGATAGGTATTATCAAAACTGAGATATCTGGAATTCTGATTTAACTAGTCATAAAATAAGAAGATGATATCTGTAATTATATTCGTACTAGCAGAAAGATATTTTAGATGTCAATAATTGTATTTCTAGACATCTGTAAAGTTATATTCATTTTTTATATCCGAAATAATAATTATGACTAGCAGACTATTATGGAGATATGAAATTAGAATCCATCCAAGTCAGAATTCATTTTAGAGAGGAAAAATGTTATTTTAGATATCTAGAAAGTAAAAGCCCAATACACATGATTGGGAAACGTGACGTCATTTGTACTAGTAAGAATTACATTTCAGATAACTAAATTGTTTAGGAGGAATGTTACTTTAGATATCTGAAATGTTCATTTTGACTAGGACTAAATGCATTTGAGACGTCTGGAAGATATATTTAGTCAAGCTAATAAATGTCAAAATAGCCTGCCATACCCACGCGGTACACCGGAGCTATGACAACCGTTCAACTATGGGGCTTTCTGATTGGACGCGCACATCACAGCTGAACTCTCATTGGCTAAGGAAGAGGCGGGCGGGTGAACCGTATACCTCAATGCAGGAAGGAGTTTGTTTTCAGCCCAACATGTAGCTCGTGTCCAGCAGGTTTTTAAGTATGTCTACGGCTGATATGTCCGCCGTGTTGAACATCCTCCAGTCTCTTTATCGGCACATACAGACGCTGCAGGAGTTTGCCGACAGCATCGTTTTCAAAGAGGGTAAGACGGCGGTACTAACTGAGCAGTCAGACTCGAACCGCTTTAAAACGTTTGTCAGAGGAGTGTTTGTCTGCTTCGATAAGGAGCTACAGCAAGTCCCGAGCTGCAGCCAGGTAAGAAGAACTCAGCTGCTCTGGAAAAATGACACAAACACCTCATCCTAAGTGGATTGTAAACATTATGCGCTGAATCAGCAAGTCATTTTCCATTTAATATTCATACCCTTTGTATTTTGTCCCAAATGTATTTAATTGATCAATGGGTAATTTAATAGCTATGGGGACTGTGCACTTTGTTGCACTAGATTAAAGAAAAAATAAGAGTTAATTTTTTATTTTTATTTCAGTTTAATATGGGGGGAAAAAATCAGAATTCTGACTTTAATCTCAGAACTCTGACTTTTTTCTCACAATTCTGACTTTAATTTGAGAATTCTGGTCTTAATCGGATAATTCTGGCCTTAATCTGAGAATTTTGGCCTTAATCTCAGAATTCTGACTTTAATCTCAGAACTTTGACTTTAATCTCAGAACTCTGACTTTAATCTCAGAACTCTGACTTTAATCTCAGAATTCTGACTCTAATCTCAGAATTCTGACTTTAATCTCAGAACTCTGACTTTAATCTCAGAACTCTGACTTTAATCTCAGAATTCTGACTTTTTTCTCAGAATTCTGACCTTAATCACAAAATTCTGGCTTTAATTTCAGAATTCTGGCCTTAATATCAGAATTCTGACCTATTTCTCCGAATTCTGACTTTTTTCCGAATTCTGACCATAATATTAGAATTCAGACTTTTTTTTCTCAGGATTCTGACTTTTTTCTCAGAATTCTGACTTTTTTCAGAATTCTGACCTTAATATCAGAATTCTGACTTTTTTTTCCTCAGAATTCTTACTTTAATCTGTGAATTCTGGCTTTAATCTTAGAATTCTGACTAAAGAAGACATGGCTATGGCTTCATGCTAACATGTTTGTTAGCTGTCAGAATTAAGTCAGAATTCTGAGATTAAAGTCAGAATTTGCAGAAAAAAAAAATCAGAATTCTGACTCATAATATACTGAAATAGAATTTTAAAATCTGTGTGTTTAGTTTGGTTTGAATGTGACACACAAACACAGGTTAGTACAAAAAGTTCACCTCAAAAGTATCCACACCACTTCAAGTTTTCCATATGTTTCCCCAGTGGTCACAATGATCTAATAAATCTTTTTGTAAAGGTTTGTTTTTTAATTGGATCTCATTTTCTATTTCTGCTAGATTTGCACTCTACCAGAAGTCCTGGCTTTTGTCCTCAACACCATGAAGAGGAAAAGAAGAAAAAACGTCCTTGCACACGGCTACAATCTGCTGGCCCTGCCGCAGGAGGATCGGGATGCTGATCACTTTAAATTCCAAGGAGACTTGACTCAAAGTGCCGCCTATGTCCACGGCAGTGACCTGTGGAAGAAAGTCACGTTGCGCCTAGGCACAGACATCATGCGGTACCTTCTGGAGAGCTGCTCCTTATTCGTTTCGGTGCCTCCTTCGTGTGTTTTCCAGGTGTGTGGCCTCCCGGTGTATGACAGGGTGTCCTCCAGCCCTTCCTCTGGTGGGTTTCGTCTTCTGCTTGGATTTAGGCGGCGTAGTTTCTCTCAATTTGGAAGAAATCAAAGGTCACTGAGCTTCAGAGGGAAACAAAAAGTTGAAAAACTGCCTGACGACAAGATGAGAAGGAGAAGAGTGGAAAAAGTGAATAAGAGGAAAAGAAAGAGGGGACCAGAGCAGACGGAGGAGGAGAATTTGTTGGGAAAGAGGAGACGGTTAGCGAGCAAAGAAAATGATCAGGACATGTCCGTAGAACCAGCAGTGTCTAGGAATAACGTGGAAAGTGGAAGGACTGGTTTCAAACAGCCAGTTGGGATACAAACAGCCGGGCCTTCCTCAGAGGGTAGTCCCAGTTGGAGATCAGGGGTTTATCCCCCTTTACCGCCCTCTCAATGCTACATCCGAACGCTTGGATTCATGTACGGCAACAGAGGCCTGCACAGCTTCCTTCTCAACAGGAAGAAAAAGAGCGCCGACGGATCCAGAGGGTTACAAGGCAAAGACTTGGTACGAATTATCTTCTTTGAGGGGTTTATGTATTTAAACGGTGTAGAGAAGAAGCCAAAGAAGCTTCCTCGGAGGTTCTTCAGCACGGTTCCCCTCTTTACTCGGCTTTTACGGCAACACAGGAAATGCCCCTACAGCAAGATTCTACAGAGGTTCTGCCCATTGCTCCAAGAGTGCAACTCTGCTGCTGCAGAGTTAAACTCCCTTTTACAGAGACACTGCGGACCCCACCGGGTCTACCTGTTTGTCAGGGAATGCCTCTCCGCTGTGATTCCTCAAGAGCTGTGGGGCTCCGACCACAACCGGGTTCATTTCTTGGCCAGAGCCAAAGCCTTCCTGCATAGCGGCAAGTTTGAGAGACTGTCGCTGGCTGAGCTGATGTGGAACATGAAGGTGAATGACTGCGACTGGCTGAAGATCAGTAAAACCGGTAAGTCAGGCCTGCCTTCAGGGTGTTCATTCAGTTTGTGACAATTTCCAGATTTCTCTCTGCCCAGATAGGTGACAAAAATAATCTCTAAAGTGCGCATTGGTACCAAAAGAAGAAGCTCAAACGTTAGCCTTTGTCAATTTTAGAATGCTGGCTTAAAAAGGCAGCTCGGAGTTGAATTTGGTGACCCTCTTGGCTTTTACTTAAAAGAAATGGGTAACAAACGAGGAGGGGAATATTCAGCAACTTTTTCTGGGTCTGGATTTAAATCTAGGGCGTCGTGTCGGGAAAGAAGGCCTCCGATTATGAGTCTTGTGCTCTATCTCACTGTCGCCCCCAGCCTTACAGGTGGCAAAGTCAAACCTTTTTTTTTTGAAGGGAGGGTGGTGCCTTTTTTTACGGCAGCAAGGCCTCAGACACCCCGTCCCCTCGTCTTGGATGGGCTGTACCAAAACTGAGATTTCGCCTTACTGGATTGCCACTCTAGGCTGGGTAAAAAATAAAGAAATGTTGAATCTTGAAACATGCTGTTTTTGGAAAAGTCTCTTACCTTTTAGAAATATCAGAAATATTTCAGTTTGATTTAGGATTCTGTAGCATTGAAAGAACAACAATAAAGTCTATAATTGTAGCAATGATGGCCCAACTTTTTGCTAATATGTGATACTAAAGTTTGAAGAAAGTTTATTCTAAAAACCCTGTTTTACAGCGAATGATTTGTCGTTGATCTTTAAATGATTGGCCGCTCATTGCAGGAAGACATTTTGAATTTGGATCACAGTCCCTTGGCGCCGTGTCGGTCATTAAATTCTGACTGTTCTGTTTTGTGTTTCTGATGTCCTGATCGGATCTTTTTTCATGCAGGCCGGGTCCCACCCAGTGAGCTGGCGTATCGGACGCAGATCCTGGGTCAGTTTCTGACCTGGCTCTTGGATGGCTTTGTTGTGGGCCTGGTTCGGGCGTGTTTTTACGCCACAGACGGTGTGGGGCAGAAGAACGCCGTTAGGTTCTACCGACAGGAAGTCTGGGCTAAACTCCAGGACTTGGCTTTCAAGTACACACTGAGACAGACAGTCCCCTAAAGACATCCAAGAGTGGATATATATATAACTAGCAGCTTTTTCTTTTCTACAGAGGTCACCTCGCCAAAGGCCAGATGGAGGAGTTATCGGCGACTCAGGTGGCGTCTCTCCCTAAAGGCACCGTCATCTCCAGACTTCGCTTCATCCCTAAGACAGACGGCATGAGGCCCATCACACGAGTTATAGGAACAGATCCTAAAACAAGGGTATGCAGAGACTGCTGGAGGCTTTTCCTTTTACAACTGGGAAGGAATGATTTTTACTTGTTTTAAATTTTTGTAACTACCATTCCTCCTCCAGATGTTCCAGGCACGGGTGCGGGACCTGCTGTACATGCTGAGGGCCTGCGTGCGCTCCACTCCGTCCCTCCTTGGCTCCACAGTGTGGGGGATGACGGATATTCACAAGGTGCTGAGCTCCTTGGCACCAGCCCAGAAAGAAAAACCTCAACCACTTTACTTCGTGAAAGTGAGTCAAAACATCTGATTGCGGCGTTTTCTGCTAGAGCTTCATTCATTTATAGCACCAGGGAAGATTATTTTCTTCTTTTTATTTCCGTCTCTTACAGGTGGATGTGAGTGGAGCCTATGAGAGCCTGCCACATGACAAACTCCTGGAGGTGATTGGACAGACCCTGTCCCCCTTCCAGGAGGAGCTTTTCACCATCCGCCGCTACGCAAAGATCTGGGCCGATTCCCACGAAGGCCTGAAAAGGGCCTTTGTTAGACAGGTGCAGCTTTACACACATGTGCTCATGTAACGTAGGATCCAGAAGCTTTGGATTAGTTTGATATTATTTATTTAGGTATGGAAAGGAATCTGGATACCTTTAATGTAAGCTGAAGTTAAGTTCAAATTCCCAAAAAATACTCAACCAGATTTCCACTAATGGGGGAAAAAACGTCTGGCTGAAAAGTAGTAAAAAATATTTAGATTTCAGCCAGATTATTTATTTTGTTCTCAGCTTTCCATAAAGCATTTTTATCAATAGCATGTGTCGGAAAACTAGCTAGAGAAAATCCAAAGATGTTTTTAAGTTACTTGTGGTCCTGGAGTGACGTCCTGGACAGCTGTGAAGGTTCAAGAATTGATTAGAATCGGTTCTAAGCTTTCAATTTTCCCAGAATCATTCCATTTGTTTTATTTTTGACTCAAATGTTCTATTTCCAGCCTGCAGACTAGAAATATAAGCGGTCTAATGTCAGTGAATAGAAATACACAGGAGTGTGTGTGTGCAGCCGTATGCGTATGCTGCAGCTTTCAGAAGTTTAATTAATTAGAGACAGAACCAAACAGCTACCTGCAACACTTTAGATAGGATTTTTTAATGCAAAAGACAACACACAGCTGATATAATTAAATGCCACCAGTGTAAGAATAAAAGCCTCATCTTTGACCCACTGCAACAGTGTTGTACAAAGTTAGGTTCCCTAAGGAAATGTGTTCCTCTTTTGAAATCATTGCTCCCCTTCTGCACGGTGAGGGGAGCTTTTTTTTTTTTTCAACTTTCTTCATCTTTACATCT